CTAATGTATCTTCAGAATAACCTTTTTCTTGGAATTGGGATCTCATCTCTTGTATTTGTTGAATACAGATTTTGGGTTCTGAACAGTTTCTTCTGATTCATCGGAATTGACTGAATGGTATATTTTTTAACCAAATATGTGTATGAAAACTGTTGTATGGTATAAAGCTATTACATGCTACTGACTTCCTAAATGTTTTAGTTTCTATTTTGTTGTTCTTAATGTATATCTCCAAGTCTAAAAATTCCAGTTTTTCTTTTGATTGATTAAAAGTGAACTTTAAATTGTATGGATTAAAATTGAGAAACTGTTTAAAAGAATCCAATAAAACTGAGTCACCTCTCCAAATAAAAATACAATCGTCGATATAGCGCCGCCACAGGACCAGATTTGCGCCGTATGGGTTATGGGTCCAGATAAATTCATCCTCCCATTTTCCCATAAAAAGATTTGCATAGCTTGATGCAAATCTGGTCCCCATGGCATTCCCCTCTACCTGCAAGTAGTGTTGGTTGTTGGCCCAAAAGAAATTATGACTTAGAATAAATGCCACACATTTGACTATATAGTCTATTTGATCATTTTTAAGTTCTGAGAAAGTGGCAAGTGCGTACTGGATCGCTTCGCAACCTTGTAGGTGCTCTATTACCGTATATAGCGATTTAACGTCCGCTGAAACCAGCATGTATTCTTTTTGCCATTCTACTTCTGATAAAATTTGTATAATGTGCATAGTATCCCTTAAATGAGATTTGAGTTGGGTAACTATGGTTTGCAAAAATGTATCCACATATTCTGACAAATTCGAAGTTAAGGAACCAATCCCTGAAATGATTGGACGCCCAGGGGGGTTATTGAGAGACTTGTGTATCTTTGGCACATGATAAAATACTGCCATCTTAGGGAATTGGCAGTATAAATAATCATATTTATTTTTTGTAAGTATGCCTCTTAGTTTTCCTTCCTCCAATAGGTTTTGTAATTCTTGTTGAATTTTTTAGTGGGATTACTATTTAGTACCTGGTATGTTTTTTTGCCACTTAGTAATCTTTGATTTTCTTGCTGATAATCTTCTAGGTTGAGTAATACCAATCCTCCTCCTTTATCTGCTGCCGTTGTAACAATTGTATCATCTTCCATTAGGGATTTTAAAGCTGTTCTTTCTTTTTTTTTGTGAGATTATCTTTGGATGTATTTTTAACGTTTAAACTTCTTAATTCTTTCTCTACATTCTTTTCAAAGACTCTTATATGGTCTGTTTTAATGTGATAGGGATAAAAAGTGGATTGAGGATGTAGATTGGTATGTTCGTAATGTGTGTCACCTTCAATGCTATTACTTTCTTGTTCTAGAAATAATTTTTTTATAGATAATTTTCTAATAAATTTATGAAGGTCTATGAATATATGAAAACTTGAATTGGAAGAGTTAGGGGCAAATTTGAGGCCTTTGTGGAGTAAAGATAATTCCTCTTTTGTCAGAGTACGTTCCGACAAATTGAATATGGATTAAACGTGGACTTCGAATTAAATGCTTTTTTATAGATTGTTTTTTATAAATTGTTTTTTAGAGGTATCTTTTAAAGGTTGTTCTTTTTCAGTATAATCAGTTTTTAGCATTTAAATATTTTTCTCATTTTAAGATAGTCCCATTTTTTAATATATAAATATTTTTTTTTTTATTACACTTTTTGATAATTCTTATATTTTTATATATCCATTTGGCCAGTTTACATACTGGTTCCCATCTAAATTTAAGTTATTCTTTCATATGGCTATCTCTCTACTAGCACAGTTTCTATTTTTTCCATATTCGTCATTACATATCCATTGATTACTAGTATGCTTAAGATCCAACTATTAGAAACATAGAAACACAGAAACATAGAATGTGACAGCAGATATGAACCATTCGGCCCATCTAGTCTGCCCAATTTTCTAAATACTTTCACTAGTCCCTAGCCTTATCTTATAGTTAGGATAGCCTTATGCCTATCCCACGCATGCTTAAACTCCTTTACTGTGTTAACCTCCACCACTTCAGCTGGAAGGCTATTCCATGCATCCACTACCCTCTGAGTAAAGTAATACTTCCCGATATTATTTTTAAACCTTTGTCCATTTAATTTAAGACTATGTCCTCTTATTTGTGGTAGTTTTTATTTTAGCTTTTAAGTATGGTAGTCTCCTCCTTTGCTGTCGACACGGTTCCTTTATATGTTTGGAAAATGTTTCTATCAGCATCGATTCTGCGTCTTTCTTTCAAGCTATACGTGTTGGATCCTTTAACCTTTCCTGGTAAGTTTTATCCGATCATGAACCAGTTTTAGTGGGTTTTCTCTGAACCCTCTCTGGGTATCAAATATCCTTCTGGAGATACGGTCTCCAGTACTGTGTACAATACTCCAAGTGAGGTCTCACCAGTGTTCTGTACAATGGCATGAGCACTTCCCTCTTTCTATACAACCAAGCATTCTGCTAGCATTTCCTGTTGCTCTATTACATTGTCTGCCTACCTTTAAGTCATCAGAAGTAATCACCCCTAAATCCCTTTCTTCAGATGTTGAGGTTAGGACTCTATCAAATATTCTGTACTCTGACCTTGGGTTTTTATGTCCAAGATGCATTATCTTGCACTTATCCACTACATTAGTATCAGTTTCCACGAACTTCTGACCATTTTCTAGTTTACCTAAATCATTTGTCATTTGAGCATCCCTCCTGGAACATCAACCCTGTTAAATATCTTAGTATCATCAACAAAAAGCCATACCTTACCATCAAGACCTTCTGCAATATAACTAATAAAAATATTAAAGAGAATGGGTCCAAGTACAGATCCCTGAGGTACCCCACTGGTGACAAGTCCAAGCTTCGAATATATTCCATTAACTACAACCCTCTGTTGCCTGTCACTCAGCCACTGCCTTACCCATTCAACGATATTGGAATCCAAACTTAAAGATTGCAGTTTATTGATAAGCCTTCTATGTGCAACAGTGTCAAAAGCCTTACTGAAATCTAGGTAAGCAATGCCTACTGCACCACCCTGATCTATTTTTTTAGTTACCCAATCAAAAAAATCAATAAGATTAGTTTGGCATGATCTCCCTGAAGTAAACCCATGTTGTCTCTGATCTTGAAATCCATGTGTTTTTAGATGTTCATCAATCCTATCCTTTAACATGGTTTCCATCAATTTCCCCACTACTGAAGTAAGGCTTACTGGCCTATAGTTGCCCGACTCCTCCCTATTACCTATCTTGTAAATGGGCACAACATTCACTAACTTCCAATCTTCTGGGACTACTCCTGTTAACAATGATTGGTTAAATAAATCTGTTAATGGTTTTGCTAGTACACCACTAAGCTCTTTTAACAGCTTTGGGTGTATTCCATCAGGTCCCATTGACTTATTTGTCTTTACTTTTGACAGTTGAAATAGAACCTCTTCCTCTGTAAACTCATTTATCCTTTTTCTCAACTGAGGTCCCTTTCCTTCATTTTCATCTGTAAATACAGAACAAAAATATTATTTGAGGCAGTCAGGTAGACCTTTACCCTCTTCTACATACCTTCCTTCTTTTGTTTTTAATCTAACTAATCCCTTTTTTACTTTTCTTTTCTCATTTATGTATCTAAAAAAATGTTTTATCCCCCTTTTTTACTGACTGTGCTATTTTCTCTTCTGTGTGTGATTTGGAAGTTCTTATAACTTGCTTAGCCTCTTTCTGCCTAATCTTATAGATCATTTTGTCTCCCTCACTCTGGGTTTTTTTATAATTCCTAAATGCTAACTTTTTGTTTTTAACTATTTTGGCCACATCTGTGGAGTACCACAGTAGTTTCTTGAATTTTTTGCTTTTACTGACAAGCCTAATGTAATTTTCTGTTGCCTTCAATAGTGCAACTTTTAAATAATCCTATTTCTCTTGGACTCCATTTAAATTGCTCCAGTCTGACAATGACTCCTCTACCCATATTCTAATTTTAGAAAAGTCTGATTTTCTAAAGTCTAAAACTTTTGTTTTTGTGTGGTGTGACTCAGTCACTGTTCTTATATTAAACCACACTGACTGATGATCACTGGATCCTAAACTTTCACCTACAGTAATATCTGATATCAAATCTCAATTTGTTAACACTAAATCTAGTAGGGCCTCTTTACGAGTTGGCTCCTCAACAACTTGCCGCGATCAATCTGAAATCATAGAGCCTTCCTTCAGGTATAAAAGAAGAACAGAAGCACAGGAACACACACCGATTGATGAAGCCTACAGGCGAAACGCGTCTCGGACATCCAGGAGGATTTGACTTTTTAATTTCAACCTTTGTTTTTATATTTTTATATTGTAAAATAAATTAAATTTTTATACTTTCCATCTGGACGTAAGTTGTGTTCCTGACCTTATCCATAGGGTTTGGTACCCCCCTAGTGGTACCTATACTATCATACTCAGAGCCAGAGATACAGGCTCTGAATCAGGTGAGCAGTAGTGATGTCCCGAACGGTTCGCTGGCGAATAGTTCCTGGCGAACATAGCGTTCGCGTTCGCCACCGATGGCGAACATATGCGATGTTCGGTCCACCCCCTATTAATTTACTAATACTAAGTAAAAATTACTTAGTATTAGTAAATTGTGCCCCTACTCGCAATACCGCGAGTAGGGGCATGTCTATTAAACAGTGAGCAGCCATCATAAAAAAAACAGACGAAAAAGAAAAAACCCGAGCGCAAAAAAATAATCCATCTTCACCCATGGAGGGCTCCGCGCAGACTGAGCTCTGCAGGGCGGGGGAAGGCTTATAAAGCCTTGCCACGCCCTGCAATTAGGCTAAGAACACTCTGATTGGTGGGTTTAAGCCAATCAGAGTGCTCTTTGTCATTTTACACAGCGTGGGAAAATTCCAAAGAACTTTCCCAGCTGTGTAAAATGACACAGAGCACTGTGATTGGATGGATTTCAAGCCATCCAATCACAGTGCTCTGTGTCATTTTACACAGCATGGGAAAATTGAACTTTCCCACGCTTGAAAGCCATCCAATCACAGTGCTCTGTGTCATTTTACACAGCGTGGGAAAATTGAACTTTCCCATGCTGTGTAAAATGACACAGAGCACTGTGATTGGATGGCTTGAAATCCATCCAATCACAGTGCTCTGTGTCATTTTACACAACGTGGGAAAATTCCAAAGAACTTTCCCACGCTGTGTAAAATGACACAGAGCACTGTGATTGGATGGCTTTCAAGCGTGGGAAAGTTCAATTTTCCCATGCTGTGTAAAATGACACAGAGCACTGTGATTGGATGGCTTGAAATCCATCCAATCACAGTGCTCTGTGTCATTTTACACAACGTGGGAAAATTCCAAAGAACTTTCCCACGCTGTGTAAAATGACACAGAGCACTGTGATTGGATGGCTTGAAATCCATCACAAACACTGGCCAAAGTTAGCGTTAGTATTTGTTAGCGTTAGTATTTGTTTGTGTGGTAGTGAAAAATGCAAAAAATGCCAATTTTGGCCAGTGTTTGTGACTAAGTGGCTACTAAAAAAGACTGGACATACCCTGTTTTCAATACCTTGGGTTGTCTACTATTGCAAATGGTATGCCATCATAGGGGTAATTTTCATTCTTGGGCTACTATAGGGTCTCAAAGGCAACGTAACCAATCTGGCGAATTTTAATGTGAAAAAAATGAAAACACAAGCCTTATATTTGACGCTGTAACTTTTGAAAACACCATAAAACCTGTACATGAGGGGGTACTGTTGTACTCAGGAGACTTCGCTGAACACAAATATTTGTGTTTCAAAACAGTAAAAAGTATCACAGCAATAATATTGTCCGTGTAAGTGCTGTTTGTGCGTGAAAAATGCAAAAAACTTCACTTTTACTGGCGATATCATCGTTGTAATACATTTTACTGTTTTGAAACACTAATATTTGTGTTCAGCGAAGTCTCCCGAGTAGAACAGTACCCCCATGTACAGGTTTTATGGTGTCTTGGAAAGTTATAGGGTTAAATATAGTGCTAGCAAATTAAATTCCCTTTACTTTCGGCATGGGTTGTCAGGCAGGTCCCGCTAATTGTAATTAATTAAGATACCTAATTATGTAAAAATATTACATAAATATGTAGTATATATATATATATACGTATGTACATATATCTATATAATTTTTTAAAATATTTTATTTATATATAGGTATATATATATAGTGATATATACGTATATATTTATGTATATAGATATATTATTTTGTTCTACGTGTATTTTGATATATATATATATATATATATTAATTTCACAAAACAGTTAGAACGAAATAACACACATCTATATATTTTTTAATTATTTATTTTTAATTATTTTTTAATTTTATTTTTTAACGTATTTACATTTTTATTTTTTTTATATTATATATAAATATATATATAACAATAATTATATATATATTTAATCAGTATCAGTCTACGTGTAATTTGATATTAATATATATATATAATTATATATATATTAATAGTAAAATACACCTAGACGTGTACGTGTGTGTATGTATATGTGTATATATATACTTAGATCATATATATATAATATATATATATGATCTAAGTATATATAATATTTTTTTTTACACCATTAACTTATTTTACTTTTATTTTCAGCCAGCAGGGGGACCACCTGTCATTACAGGCAGCCCCCCTGCCGGCAATACAGAAGCCAGCTATACCCGGCCATGTGATTGTGGGGTCCTCGCTAGGACCCCACTCTCACATGGCCGGGGGGCTTCAACGAGGACGGATGTGCCGCGGGGGGCTCCCTGGGAGTCCCCCCAACCGCGATCGCCGGCGTGGGACCGCCGGCGACCGGGTAAGTTAACAAAAACCGGAGGGCGTACAATTACGCCCGGCGGCGTTTAGAGCCGCCTATTAGAGGGCGTAATTGTACGTCCTCTGGTTTTAAGGGGTTAATGTAACTGTGCTATATAAATAAATAATAACAGTTACTCCGCCCACTCCAGTTGTAGACTACTGGTGGAGGCAAGAACACTTCACACAATTTCCCAAGAAATTGTAGCTTTTCTAGTTATATATTGTACTACTTTTATTATTTTTTAAAATTAAAGTACTTTTTTGATTGGACCTAACTTTGCTGCTGTTGGATTGTTTGGAGCTATATCCCTGGTGGGGTTCATACCACCCAAGCGGTTTGGATTGAGCAAACCGGAACTTTGTGATTGTGAAAACCAAAACAGATATGCGCGATACGGCTGGATAAAGCTAAAGAAGAACATAAAAATATATAGTGTAATACAGTAAGCACATATAACAATGCGCTGATAATGAATGCACTCACAAGATTACGTGGAAAAAAGTGCTCACAAGGTGCCTCCCCCGTTGTGTGAGACCGAAGCAGCAAGAGCATTTACACAGCAGGCAAAGTCAGCTTTTTGTTAACTATATTATTGTGAGCCAGTCCACACTAGTTCTGTTCCACGTCATCCTTTCCAAGCTTCAGCTCCATTAGCCCCAACGTAATTCCGTTCCTGCACCTGACCCACTGAGGTTGAGTGCTGAACAGTCTTAAGGATACAGTAACACAGAAATGAATACATTTCTACTATGCAGGGCAATGGTGAAGAAAATGTCACAAATGTGTTTATTTATTGGTAAACCATTTCTGATTAAATAAACTGTGGGGAT